GACGACGACGGGTGGGCCAAGGTGGTCCCCAAGTCCTCGCCGGAGCAGACCGGCTGGGTGCCTCGGGATGGGCGAGCGCAGTCAGAGTCGCCGCGAAGAACACGGGTCTTGAGAGACGCGGGTCGTGAGGATGTTCGGCGGTTTTCCAATTCCTTAGGGCCCCGCGGGTCCCGGGCCGTCAATGGAATCGCTCCAGTTGGCAAGGCGGTTCCCGGGTGCAGGACCTTTTTTTCTTTACCTCTCCTTGTTTTATGGTTAGGTGCCACGTTTCTTGCCAGCCATGTTCGCTGTTCGCCCGATCATGCAGGTGCGCTACTCGTCAAGGATCATCTCTTCGCGAGGGGCGTCGTTTGAGCCAGCGGAGGAGCTGGGGCTATCGCTGGCGGCTGGCCACGTGTATGCAAGCCCTGGCAGAAACGTCAGGTCAGTTTCATCATGCTTGGGATGCTGGGGTCGACGTCTGGGGAGAACGCGCTGTTTTTGTTGGCCTGGTCTGGGGCCCAGAATGGCCCCCAAACCCTCGTGGTTCTCGCCCTGGCATCTGGAAACAACGTCGGCGTCGAGCAGCGCGTGCACCTGCACGTGCGACGGCGCTACCGTTGCTTTTTCATGTGTCAGGTCCCATTGTGTAGGCGCTTGGAGGATGCGGTACGGTTGATTGACAGATCGAACAGATCGGTTGAGAGAGTGATTGGCTGATTGTTTGACCAGCAATGTCCGGTGAATCCGTGGGTCATCGGTTTAATGTTTGGTTCGTGGGGTTCTGCCCCTCGCGGGTGATAGTTGCATGGTTCAGGGCTGGGCTCAGCGAGCACTGGACGAGCGCCGCCCCCTCCCGAGGTACCAGCGGCGTACTTGAAGGCGGTCCCGAAGTGTGGGCCTGTTGCCTTGAAGGCAGCGCCGCCCTCAGCGCGCCCTGGGCAGTCAGAGCTGTCGCAGGCGAGGAACACATTCTCAGGAAGGCATCGAAGGAGGTGCCTACCAGACCCCCGACGTCATAATTTTCCCATGACGTTGGCCCCCATGGGTCTGCACCCATTCCCCGGGACTGGCTCCTCATGCCCAGGCGCTTTCTGACGGGCCTGGGGCCCGGCGGGGGCATCGGAAGGCCGAACGTGGTTGAATATTTCCCGTCACGATTTTTTCCCCAGTGATCTTTTCCTTACTCATTGTTTTGCCGATCGCCGCGGGCCCTCGCACGGCCTCGACGTTCACGTTTCTCGGCCGCAACCCCATGGACGTAGGGCGGCGTTGCGCGGATGCCCCGCGCGGAACGTCTCCAAAGGATGACGCCTCCATGGGATCGCGCCTCGGAGCCCAATCCACGAGGCCATGGACGTGTAGTTGAAACACGTTCGTCGCCCGTGAAGTCGGCCAGATGTACAGTGCGCAGTGGCTCGAGACGTGTTCAACATCTGCTGCAGCGTGGTCGCCGATGTCTCACCTTAAGACGCTTCGAGTATCCCTTACCAGCGCATCCAGAAACGAATCCTAGGCAGGTAGTCGCGAGCAGGAACTTGAACGATCGCTCGTGGAGTACAGAGTGGGCGCCAGTGAAACGAGCGGATGGATCAGGCCGTGCAGGCCCTCGAGACAGCCCGACGAAGATGGCATTGGCATCCTTTATCTGAATCTCGTTCTCAACCCGATAGGCTGGCTTGATCGGATTTAAAGAACAGGCTTCCCGGCCCTGCCACCCTGCACACAGCGGCCGCCGGGCCCCCAGGTCAATCGAGAATCCGCGGTGCTCCCGCCCCCCGCGCCGTCAAGGAGCATGGCAGAACTGACCAGGATAGAGCACGACATCATATAGCATGGCAGAGCAGGGCATGGCAGAGCATGACATCATACACCAGAGCAGACCCACATAACAGGCCATGCCCTGAGAGAACGCTTCAGAAGATGGCAGGACACAGCATCGCATGTTATGGCCCGTCCAAACATCACATAATGTAGCAACGACTTGAACATAGTATGCAGCACTATAACATAGTAGAAGGATGCGGCATAAACGCAATACGATTTAATGCGTACTATACTAGGTCAATGGCGTATCATCATAAACATCCAGGTGGAACAACATATAACGTATTATACGGTAGTATACCAGAACACTGTGTGGTGAACAGGACAACACCATGCACTGGATTATACAACGGCGTAACGTAAGCTGACAAACCACAGCCCCATATACGACCCCAGATCTACAAAGAGCACAGCCGAACAAAACAAAGGGAAGCACTTTATACTATACCATGCCGCAGTATAGCATATCATAACGACGACTGTGGCGAAGCATGATACAAAATACCAGAACTTCAGGAAACAAGCACTAACCTGAGTTGGCAGAGTACAGATATGGAGCAACCGTGTTGAATCGTATACAGCATTATAGAACCACACATTTATAATATAAACTATGTCCGTCCTGTCGCAACCTTTAGGTTGATTCAGGCGTAACACCGTAGAAGTAAATTGCGTAACATATTATGCTATAGGTGAACGTCATATGTTGCGCACGGTAGGATGACAGAACCGGGGATCACAAACATCTCACAAGCACACCATAATTGAGTGTAACGCACGGAAGCGAGCACACCATAACATAAGTAAACATTTTAGCATGTTTGTGGGCAGTTAGTTGTTTCCCGACCTGACTTGATGGGCTGTTCGATCTTAAGCAAAGGATTCCAGTTCGCCCACCCTGCACGCCGCGGCCGCCAGATCGCACAGGATCTCGGTAGTCCTTGAGTAACCCGCCTCGCGTCCTCGACCAATGACGACACCATGCCGCTGTCGCCAGACCCTTCAGGATCCTGGAAGTCCCTCAGTGTCCCGCCTGGCTTTTTCGACGAATGACCGCACAGTGCATACCAGACAGCCCCGAGGGGGATGCGTTATGACGTCACGCCGTCCAGGCGCCACAAAGAAGTATGAGGGCCCGGATTCAAGAACACAGCAACACAGGACACATATACCGCAACAAAGTATAACATAACAGACCAGACTTTCACACAATCGGGGAAAACGAGCAACACATAACAAATAATCATACCATAATGGGATGCAGTGCAAAGAATCGCATCTATTTATACATATATATATATATATATGCAGGTGTATCTGTCTATGTATATCTATACAAAGATTCGAGGACTGCAGAAAAGATAGTGTATCCCACAATGGCATGACATACCATGTGGCAGCGCAACAGTTAAATAAACAGATTTCCAACAACATAGATGTCTGATGTGGGAAAATTCAAGATTGTGCGTACGATTGTAAAGTATGACGTGGCGGGAGCATGGAGGGAACAGTCAATCAGAATGCGGATATTAGTGGACAAGAGATTGACACATCATAAGTTCTTTAACATCGAATGTTCGATAATGCATCTGGCCGCAATCGAACCTATTATAGCATAACAGGAATCCGAAATAATATACAGAACGCACCAAGTGTGATGACAATTGTAGACATGTGAATTGAACGCACCAGAGCATACCATAATAGTGTGCAATGTAACATAGCAAATGGTATCAATGTATAGCCCTACGTAATGACATGTAGCCAAATCCTGGACTCGAATATGGCTGAGCCCAACCGAATAGAAAACATCAGCGATCGATTAACGGCGTCCTATCAAACACAACACCCGGGCCGAAGAAAGGTTGGCCCCAGAAACAAACAGGCTCAACAACGACCGATTAGACGGCGCATTAAACGTGACAGGCGTCACGATGTCACGCCAGTCCGTCCAGAACAGACCAGAAGAGAATGGAGTATAATATAATAGAAACAATTGCGGAGGCTTGACGGCTTCCAGGCCAAATGCCTGAGAATTATCATGGGTATCCTGCCGTCCTACGTTTCGAGGACGTCGACCGCAACAGTCTTGCAGAGGGCTGGCGTGCAGTCCGCTTCAGACCAGCTCTGCAAACGGCAGCTCGTGCACATCGGCAAGATTATGCGCTTTCCGCCAGGGTCGGCACTGAGAAGGGCGTCCTTCATTCCCGGAACGGACGTCCCAGCAACCGACGGCTACGAGCGACGGCATGGCCGGCCGAACAAGGAGCGGATACGCACAGCCATGCCAGAGGCTATCCAGCTGACAGGAACGTATGCACGATTCCGCGAGCGAAGTGCGGAGGAACACGCATAGAAGCAGCTAGTGTACAACAGGTGATTGAGTCCACGCCATTCGGTCGTAGAGTTCTCTGAGCTATTTGATTCAACAAGTTGTCCAGCGAGCACGCAGAAGCGCCGATCTGCACGCCGCTACGCTCGTCCATGGGCTGCCCGCAGCCTACGACTCCGACCGACCTCAATAGAGCAGAATTGGACTTTGTAGAGCACATCGGCGACCGATTAACGGCGCCCTATCGGATGCAACGTGCGGGCCGAAATATGGTTCCAAAAAGACCTAGCAGCCGCAGCAACCGATTTGGCTACAGATATGCTGCGACAGGCGTCACGGCGTCATGCAACCCCGTCGACTTGAGAACATAACAATTTATATGCGCATAGAACATAACAGAACTATACATAACGTGATAGAGTAGAATGCAGCAGCGACCCGGCAGTGGCGTCTTATCAAGCGCGAAATGCGCATTGGGTTCAGGTTGGCCGCAGCAACAACCAGCACTTGACGGGAACAAGCGCCAAAGGTGTCGGTGGGGTTCGTTCGACGCAGCATGATTTCACGTGCGCTAGACGGGCACACTAGCTACACATGACCATAGCATAGCTTCGCGAGATGCGCGCCAGTTTCGCTTAGTTGGGTTATATACAAAGTGTCTAAAATCAATTGTCCTTCACATCCGCTTCCCCCTAAGGTGCCCACTTAGAGTATGACTTGTGCTTGTTGGAAATGTCACGAAGCCCGCTTGGACTCGTTCGGGTCCCATTTGCGAGTGTTTCGGAATTTCTAGGGCCAGGCCGAGGGCCATCGACAACAGGGATCTGTTATCAACGCCGCTCCTGGCCCTGAGCATTTCCTTCCTCCTGGGCGCATGTTGGAACTCTCCTCGGAGCCTCGGGGCCTCCTCTTGCGGCCCTTTTTCGGAGCCATCCCAGACACGCCTTGAGGCATCCGAGTCGGGTGTTGCGCAATGGGTAGGGGGGGGGGGGGCGAAAAATGGAGGGGGCGAAGAACAGTGCACTTTGTGTGCCAAAAGGGCCCTAAAGAAAGGCTCCCTGGGACAAAGGTCCACGCCCCCCTCCCCGTTGATTTACCCCCCCCATTCACCAACGCCCACTCGAGGCCCGTCGAATGTTCAAAAGGCAAGACAGTGTAGATCAATAGCCATCAGCCATGACGCTTGGCGTGGTGGGGGGGATCCGACAGGGAGGGTGGAACAGAAGGTGCGGTGTTTTGCACGTGGTGGTGGTTGCCAGGCATCCTCAGGCCTTTTTATCCTCGAGGTTTCCTTCGGTCTCCGTTTCCCGTCGCTTCCTCCAACCCCCCATCTTATGTTTGTGTTCCATCTTCTCTTCCGCCTACTTCAATTGCACCGCCCGTTGCTCTCGAGGCCAAGCCGCCATCGCCGACAATGCCGAAACAAGCCAGTATGAAGGCTGACCGCGTGTGACGAGCCGTTGCTTTTGATGTTCGGACCTCATTGAGCTCGTTTTGGATCCACTCTATGTGTCATGCTCTCGCACTTGTAGCTCTCCCTCTGGAGTTGTTCGATCGTTGGGTTCACGCCCGCATGCGTGTTTGCGCTTGTATGCGCATGCATGCGCATACAAGCGCATGTCATATCAATGTGTGATCGTTTGTGGCACAAGTATGGTTGCGTTTCACGGTGCAGATTGCGCATGGATGGTGGAGCGCATGTGTGTGGGGTTCACGCAGCCGCCGTTGAAAAATGTCAGTTCCCACACAATGTTATTTGCGAAGTGTCAGTGGTTTGGCTGGCGCTCGGTCTTGCCCAGTTCTCTTACACTATCGTTGCACCGCTCATGTTTGCTGCGCATGTTCCTTTTGATGAATCGCCCATTCCTTATGTTCCTCTTCCTCCCCATCATCATCCTCTTGATCCTGTTCTTGAGCAGAGAAGCTCCTGTGCATCGATTCCGTGTCACGCAAGTCGATACCGCCAGAGCGAGCGAACCTTCAGGCGATTGTGTATAGATCACGTTTCTTCGGATCAACCACAGCAGATGCATGTCACGCGACGGGCGGTGCCTCGGAGTGTCCAGCCACCGGTCCATTCACGGGCTTGTCTTTGGCCCTCTTTCTTCTGGCCTTCTTCCTCCCTGGCATGGTTCCCATGCCCTCGTCTTGCGCTACCTGCAGGTTGCAGCTCTGCGGACGACTCCGGCCTTGCACTCCGTGAAAGTCGCTGTTTGTTTTTCGGTTGCATGGGCCCAGAGGCTTGGAGGGATTGTTTTCACGGTGTCCCTGCCCGACTTTTGCCGCTGGCTGCAACCGCTGTTGGCGCGTCTTAGAAGCAGCCTCCCCTCCTCCTCATCCTCCTCCTCCTCCTCCTCCTCCTCCTCCTCCTCCCCCTCCTCCTCCTCCACCTCCTCCACCTCCTCCTCCTCCTCCTCCCTGCCTGCCTGCCTGCCTGCCTGCCTGCCTGCCTGCCTGCCTGCCTGCCTGCCTGCCTGCCTGCCTGCCTGCCTGCCTGCCTGCTCGCGGCTGCCCTGCGCAGGTCCCCCCCCCTGCAACGCCCCCTGGCATGCACCAAACAGTTTGCCCTCCACTCGAGCGGTGACGTGCCGCGCTGCGGTGACGTCACTCGGCCCCGCGGAGGCGAAAGGGCGTGTTGGCCACCGTTCTGATTGGCCTGCTGTGAATGCGGGACGGGAAAATGACCACAGCTACTGCTGCTTGTTTGCGCCGCCTTCCAGCCGGCTGAAAAAGAAGCAGTGGTTGTGGTCATTTCCCGGGTGCCAAGCTCAACGAAAATGACCACAGCCACTGCTTTGTTTCTGCTGGCTGGAAGGCGGCAACAAAAGAAAAGCAGTGGCTGTGGTCGTTTTCACGTCCCGTAGTGAAGTCGGGCCTGTCCCTCTACAGGAGAATTATTCAGACATAAAAAAAGTCGGGGGAGGATTTGTTGACCATGCTCCACCATGTTTGGGATTTCTGTTGGCTCTGGTTTGTTTGTCCTCCAAAATCCGCCCGGATGGGGGACATGCCCGACCTAACGCTCGGCCCGCGGACGCGAAAGTGCGTGTGGGCCACCGTTCTGATCGGCCTGCTGGCCTCCCCCAGCTCCGACCAGCAGGCTTGGCCTGCCCGGGGTGCCTATTGCCCTGCGGCGCCCTTGTCTGACCTGTCTCCGAGCGGGTGCCGAAGGGAGGCAGCGATAGCGACACGGATGCACATGCCCGAGGCGGAATACGCGCGCGGAATAAGCACAGAGCCAGGCCGAGTGGACCACAGGGCCAAAATGGTGCAGGCAGGGCCCCGCAGAGAGGAGCACCTCACGGCGCTCCCTCTCCCAGCAGACTGCGGCGCCAGCGGCGCAGGCCAGTCCGAGGTGCCGGCCCCCACGAGCCGAGCCCGTCGTATTCCCGCATCTCCGCGCCCCGCGCCCAGCCCCCCCCCCCCCCTCGCCTGAGTGCGAGGCACCTCCTGCCAGCATAGGGCCGCCGCCGACGGGGCCGCCGGCCAAGAGCGGCGGAGCCGCGTCGGCGCAGCCGGAGGCGCTCCGCTCCTCGACGCCTCGAAGACGAGCCTCCGCAGACGTGCAGAGGTCCGCGCGGGTTTCTTCGGTCGGACCTGGACCCTCCTGTTGACGCGTCTGGCGCCTTCCCTGGCGCGCTGAGCGCGGCAGGGAGGAGGGTCCGGCGCCGACCCAAGAAATCTGTGAGCACCTCCGAGTGTTGTGACCCTGCCACCACTGTGGGGGATGGGGGGGGGGAGGCGAAACGCCCCAGGGAAGGAGAGCCTCCGCGGCTGGACACCGCGGGGGCCGGGCCGCGTGTCCTTGCGCAGATGCTCGCGCAAGATGCGCGCGACGCCGTGTAAGGTCCCACCATGCGGCCCCTTCCCGACGGGGTTCGCAACCCTTTCGAACCCTCCGCTGACGGACAGCACGGGCCTGCCCGCTGCAGCAGGACGGACGGGGTCCAGAGCCGCATGGGCTCAAACGTGTGCAGCAGATCCAGACGTATACTCTTAATGTGTGTCCTCGATGTATGGTATTGACGTGTGCGTTTGATGTATGTTTGCGTTGCCGGGTCTTGCTGTACGTTCCTTGTGCATGCGTTTTACCATTGTCCCCGGTGTCTCGTATCGTTGTATGACTTCGTATTGTATTATTGAAGTAGTTGTAGGCGTATGTCAAATGTGTTGAATGTATTCGTTAGGGGTGCCCTTGATACATATGTTTCGTTTGCTATCGCGGTGGATGGTACTGATCTGTCTTATTGATTCATGTCCATGCGCCTGCTGTGGGTGGATATGTCTGGTTGCTCGGTAGTGTGGTTGCTGGTGTCTGATATTGACGTACGCCTGCGGTGTCTAATGCTATGTTCTGGACGTCTTGTACTGACGCATATGTTTGGTAAGTGTTCGTGGTCACGACGGGTTATAGCGCGGCTTCTGCATGATATTGGTACCTGGTCTTGGGGCTGGTTCTTGAAGCATGGCTTCGGTGTCTGCGAGTGATGCATGTTCTCGGTGTGTGGTACTGATGGTTGTTGGTGGTGTATGTTGTTTCTGTGTTATGTTGGCGTCTGCTATTGGTGTATAAAACTGGTGTCGACCTTTTGGTGCATGACCTTACTGTATGTGATCGATGTGTGGTGTTGGTGTACGTTCCCAGTGCGTGCTCTCCATGAATGTTTTAGGAGTATGTGGACGTCGTGGTGCCTCGACGACGTGACGCCGTGACGCCTCCTCGGAGAGGTTACCTGTGCGTTGTGCTGGCTCCGTGTGCTTGTTCGCTGTGGCGTCACTGCGCTCTCGGGGATCTAATGAGGCCTGGCTGCGGGAATGTGCAGGGTGGGCGAGGCGCCGCACTCCTGGTTCCCACGGAGCCTCGGGGCGCCGCGGCCACCTGGAGTTCGGGGGGGCCTGCCGGCCGCGCCACGCAGGGCGGGCGAGGCGGGCCGACCCTGTGTGCACTTGCAAGAAACGAGCAGCCCCAACGTGTCCAGCGAGAGGGCAGGCCTCGATGGCAGGTTGCTGCTGCACCCACGAAGGCTGCGCGGCGGGTGTCTTCGTACTCGCTTCGAGCTTCGCAAACCGCCGACGGCTCCCGCCCCCGCACGGTTCTCCGCAAGCTCGTGTTCCGCTGCCGGTGCGTGCGCCAAAAACAGCCATCCGTGCGCGAAGATATAGAGATGAACGGACACGCAACGCCCCATGACGTCTCAGAAATGTCAAATTTGCCGAAACTCACCGAGCGTGCGCAGACGCGACTTTCATGCGAAACATCTGAGAGATGAGATCTGTCCTGGAGGCCAGATACTACATGGCCGTTTTCAACGCACGCGCCGGCAATGTCGCCACGCTGGCATGCCGACAAGGGCTGCACGTTGTCCGACTCGATCCGATCCCCAAGCCGCGCTTCCGATCTCGACCAGGCCCACACGAATCGGCTCCTTCTCAGGCATGCGGGGGCGCAGCCCGGCCCTGGATCCCCAAACGATCCGATCCCGATCCGAGCTCGCGCCCAAGATCCGATCCCTTCCCGATCCCACCCGATTTCGCGATCCGATCCGGCTCAGGCCCGCCGGCACCGCATCGCCGCCGCCGCAGGTGGCTCTGCGGCTGCCTCCGCGGACGCCGCCTCTGCGCCGCCGCTCGGCCGCTGTCCACACAGCCGCTCCCGCCCGCCACGTCGCGGTCCTTCGCCGGTGGTGTCGCCGGCGCTCGGAGAGGAGGGCACCGCATCAACGCAAGCCTCAGCATCGACCCCTCGCTGGGATGTTCATGCAGCTCTTTGCTCGAGTCTTCGCCGCGATCTTCGCCCGCCACCCGTAGATCCGACTCGTGTAGAAGCTTAGGCTGTGAGGCGCGCCCCCGCACCGGGGTGAAATAGATTTGCGAAGCTGGACCTCATCTTCTTGCTCGTCCTAGAAGTTCTCAGCACAAGATCGGAGTGTAGGCGCCCGGACGGATCGGTTTGGCCAGCGTTGGCCCCGAGCCCATGTGGTAGTTATGGTGCCGCCCCGGGCGCGCCTCGAGCGCCAGGACAAGTCGGTCCGGCGCTGGCCCGAGAAATCCACCTCGGACCTCCGCAAGGTTACGTTCCTGCAGCACCTTGTGCTGCTATTCTACACCATGTGCTGGTTGGGATCAGTCTCATGGCGCTCGTTGCTGGCCGCTGCGAGCATCATTGCTCGTCGGAGGCTGGGGGGTGAGGTCGCAGTGGAAGGGAGAACCCCCCACCGTGAAATCGGTTTCGGTTTCGTGTTCGTGTCGCGCGCGTTGGCGAGGCGAAGCTGCGTGGGCGCGCGATAGGAATGATGACGCCGTGGTTAGGGGCTGCGGAGCCGGTTGTCCGCTCCTCCCGTGGCCGGGGGGTGTCCCGTCGGTGGCCCGTCGGGGTCCCGTCGGTGTCTTGTCGGTGTCGCCGCCGTGGCTAGGGGCTATGGAGCCGGTTGTCCGCCCCTCCCCCCCCCAGGCGCGCGGTGGCAGGGAGGTGTCCCGTCGGTGGCCCGTCGAAGTCCCATCGCGTCGCCGCCGTGGCTGGGGGCTGTGAAGCCAGTTGTCCGCCCCTCCCCTTCCCCCCGGCGCTTGGTGGCCCGGGGGTGTCCTGTCGGTGGCCCGTCGGTTCTCCCTCGGTGTCCTGTCGGTGTCGCCGCCGTGGCTATGGGCTGTGGAGCCGGTTGTCGCGCGATGGCGGGTTGAGTGCCGTCGGCGGCGCGTCGGTGTCCCGTCAGTGTCCCCGAGCAGGGCGGCGAGATCGATAGTGAGATCGTTTGGGAGATTCATCCTGAGATCCGCTGTGAGATCGACAGTGAGATTCGCTGTGAGATCGACGGTGATCGCTTGTGAGAATCATAGTGGGACCGACAGTAAGATCAATCATGAGATCAATTTGGAGATCGATTGGGAGATCGACTTTTTAGACTGATAGTGAGAACTGCTGTGAGATCGATAGTGAGTTCGATTGTTAGATCGACGGTGCGATATGTTGTGAGATCGATCGCCGCCAACCCGAGGGCCCATCACCAGCATCATCCTCATCACAACCACCAATATTGCCATCAGGTGGTTCTTTTCACCCTCAACCTCCTTTATCACCCGAAGGTTGGTCGTATAGGTAGAAGATCGATTTGGCCAGGAATCAGAAACGTCGCATGAGGACGGATGGGGAGAGGAGGAGGAAGAGGAGGACAAGGAGGAGGTGGAAGAGAAAGAGAGAGGATGAGGTGAGAAAAAGGAAAACATAGTGAGGGAGAGGCGACACGCAGGCGCGCCATTCCTGGGCCCAGTAAGGCCGAGAGCACCGACTCAGTGCGAAGCGGGGATATATCCATGACTACTATCTGGGGGGATCGATCTTCTCGGACCTTGACAGGCGGTTGCTTTGGACATGTTTGGCCCGAACATCGATCCCCCAAGCCGTGGTGGATGAAACCCCGCCTTGGACGGAGGGCGCACCGTGCGATGATGGAGGCGGCAGTGAAGAGCAGGCTTGCGGCACGTAGTGGAGGGATGAACAGCAGCGAGGCGCGCGCGCATCTCCCACGAGAGCCCCGCGCGCCCCGGGCGATGCCGCAGGCATCGCCAATGCCGTGGCCGATGCCCGGCCCGCCGGCGGCGTCGCAGGCATCGCCGGAGCACGCGGACGAGGCGAGAGCGATCAAGGGTTCCGATGCGAGCCGCCGAGGCGCGAGATGTGTTCTGTGCGTGGGCACACTCCTGGTGATGTACTCTCTTGCATGTGAAGAAGCTCGTGTGGTATACGATGTGTGTGGGCATCTCCTTTGTGGTGTACACTGTGTATGGACATATGTTTTGATGTGTTCCTGGTGGTGCACTCTTGCATGGGAAAACTCTGGGCCCCCCGTCGCCCCCCTGGGTTGATTTATATGCAGGGCTTCCGATCAAGGAGAAAACGCTTCAATACACGAAGCCCGATGTGGACCGAAGCCTCCCCCCAAGCGGCTCCAGACCGCCCCACAACGACCTTGCACTGACCCAGGAGACGCCCACGAGACTCCCAGAAAGAGCCCCAGACCACATCAAGAGAATGATACACAAATGGCCCGTGCGTGTCCAGACTCATACACATCGAGCCCCTCGCCGACGGCCTCAGGTCTTCTCCGGACAACCTCAGACTGCTCCATCAAGATTTCTCCATACGGGGACCACGCCTCCCAGGATAGTTATGTTCATAGAGTTTCTGGAAGGGTGCTCGGTGGTTCCATGAAGCTCTTTGGCAGGGTTCAGATTCGGATTCACTCATACTTATATTCACTGATAGTCCCAGGCATACGCAGACTGACTAACGCTCAGACTCACCCACATCCAGCAGTTCCTATATTCAGACCACACATGCACGGAACAGCGGATACTCATATCGAGACTCAGTCACGTTCGGAGGATGCACTTCCCCATCCACCCATAACCAGCCCAGTCGCATTCAGATTGATACCCACAGACCATTCACATGTTACCCAGTCACTTCCAGACTCACCCATACCCCCAGCCCGCAGCCAGGCGAGCTCACATTGTGTTACCCGTACACAGACTCACACTTATTCACTCCTTATACTTCGCCCATGGTCATCGCGATGCTGCAAGCAGTACACTCAGGCACCCCAATGCCAGGGGAGGGTTTTTTGTTTTCGATGTGGTGGCCCTTGGCTAAGAATCCGAGAGCATCGGAGAGGTGGATTTCATAGCCACTCCAGCACGCCAGTGTTTTCGAGCGAACATCAGGCGTCTGCGTCGCCGTTGCGAGGTAGATACGGGCGCGGCAGTGCAAATGGCTCGGCGATAGTGCGCGTCCTAGACAGCGCAGAGCATTGCAGGATCCTGCCGAACCCCTTCAGGAACGCAGCGCGGCCGATCTCTGCGATGACGCCCAACGCAGTAACGCCGAAACGCCAGCTGGTATCAGCACGAGGGTGAAGATGTCTCAGGCGAAACCAACGTGCTTGCGCTCGGCGCATGAAGAAGCGCAAGGGGAATTTGACGTAAACTGCGGGAGCCGTACGAAGCCGACAGGAATCCGCCGCTAGCTGCCCAGAAGTTCCACACGAAACTTGCATGTCTCGCCGTACCCCCCGGCATTGTTGTAGAGAGTTGCCGGCGAGCGGCGTTCGCCCTGTTTGAGCCCCCGGCTCCTCGTCTTCCAGAGCCCCATGATCAGCGCGGTATAGCTGGCATACCACGTGGGCGCTCCAGACAGCAGCCGCCAGGGGGTGCTGCACTGCACTCGACCGTTCGCGCCCAGATTGCGTGGATGTCTCGATCGCGGCGCTGGTTTGTGCTCACCCGAATCCTCTCCGGCTCCAGAGCCCCGTGACCAATCGCGATGCAGCAAGATAACACTTGGGCGCCCCAAGAGGGGGCCGCCAGGGGGCGTGCACTCGCGCGTTCGCGCCCCGATGTCGGGGAGGTCTCGAGCAAGGCGCTGGCTGTTCGACCCCCGACTCCTCGTCCTCCAGAACCCCTATCGTCATCGCGATGCAGCTGGCATGCCACGTCGGCGCTCCAAATAGGAGCCGCCCAGGGGGTGCTGCACCCGCCCGTTCGCGCCCAGATGTCCCACATGGCGCTATCGACGCCCTGAGCTGGCCCCGAGGGGCCTCGAGGAGGCTCCCTGTCCGAAGAATCATCGTATGCCGTTGTTGGCGTTTCACGGTATGCTTGTTGTGTCAGTCCCTTCTCCCTGCACGTCGCCTGGATATCGTGTCTGGTGGGGTGGATAGAGGTACTTTTTGTGTCGCAGCCGCAGGCGAGGGCGCCAGCGGCGAGTCAGGTCCGAGCGGGCCGCGCAAGAGGGGATAGAGATACGCGAAGCGTGAAGAATAACCCCTCCCAGCGCGCGAGCGAATTCAAGGCAAGGATCGCCCTGGTCGTGCGGACAGACGGGGCAAGGGAACATGTGCAAGACTTGGTAAAGAAAGACGAGGAGCAGGAAGGAGGCCACGCGCAGTTCTACCAGCCCATGCCGCCGATTCTGGATTGGGGTTGTTTTGGGTTCTATCGGATTCTGCTGCTTTTCTGGAATTCCCCCCTAATGGCGCCAAGACAGCACAACGTGATTTCAGAATGGACCGCGAGACTCCAAAAAGGAGCCAAAACAGGCCAGCAAAATCAGAGGAGGCCCCCAAGATTGCTCAAAAGGCTCTCTGTAGCTTTCCGAGAGGCGGGCATGATTGAGTTTCCTTTGGCTCTGTGTGGTTTTCGTGTACACGCTTCCTCTGTGTTCAGGGCGTCCAAGGCGGCTTCTTCCCACCAGCACCCCGAGACGGTCCAGCAGGCGCCGAGGCGCCCCAAGAGGGCCCCCGAAAAGGCGACGGGTGGCCCCAGAGGGCCCCAAGTTGCCCAAGACAGGCCCAATAGCGCGCCAAGACGCCCCGAGGCGCTTGCAAAGGCGCGCATCGCCCTGCCCGAGCTATTCGAATTGGAACAATCGATTCTGGTAGATACACCACGCATATCCACTCCACTAGGTGAGATATCACTGTCGTGCAACGTACCCATGAGGTAGGCGCAAGCAGTACACATAGAGAAAGTCCGAGCGTGTTCCCAAATTATTGACTGGTGCGGAATGTCGCGGGTATGCTTTATAGGTTGATTGTGATCTGACGTTGTTCTGTACCACCTTTGTCGATGTTGTAGGCGCGGTATGTGTTGACGGTGTGTGGGTGAGGCCACGATGTTACAAAACATGCGTCATCTGAGTTCGACGAATCACAAGGTTGTGGTAACTTGCGCCCGGTGAAACTATGTAAACCGTGGTGCCCGCCATGTCGTCATGGTGGATGTGTTGCCTTCACCGTATACGCTGCATGCGACGCACATGTGGTACAAGTACGGGGTTGGTATGAAGTTGACGCTTGATAGGTTGACATGTCGCTCGATGTAATTCCGTAGCTGTTTTTGGCACGAAAACATGGTTCGGTATCGTTGTGTGGCACGTTGGCTCTCGACTGTAGCATCGGTGTCGATATTGCTCGCATCAGTGCAGGAGCTGAAGCCTAATCAGCTCCTCTTGCACAAGTTCGTGCAGGACCAATTCGTGCAGAAACTACAAGAAACGCGAGATTCAGCACCCGTCACTTCCAAATGGTCTAGTAAGGAAATTCCACTGGCCCCGAGATCCGAGGCCCAGGCTGACAGGGCAACTGGAACTCAGGAGGCTGCGAAAGAAGCCGAGATGGGTCCTGTCTCCTCCGCCCCTTCCTCCCCCTCACTCCCCCTCTCATCACCGACTTTTTCGCGAAAGTACTTGCCTGGGTTGTTAGACATGTCTGATCATGCCGACACGATGTGCCAGTTTCCCACCTTGGCGTGGCTCTCGTCTGAAGGTGGCACGAAGAGTTTCAGTCCAGCGCTCGAGGAGAAGGGAGGGTATTCCGATTTGCACAACCTGTGGAAGACTTTCATTGCAGTACAGAACCGTCAAGGCGCGCTGGCTCCCGGACGGAATGCTGATGCACGCGTGTTGGTCTTTAAACTAGTTGGAGGCCAAGGGTTGGGGAATGTGATGGCAGGTATCGCATTTGCTCTGTATGCTGCCATGTGCAGCGGACGAGCGTTTCTCATCGATTCGAGAGATTTCGAAAAGTTGATACCGCCGCGATACATAGATTGGCGAGTTCGGGGGCGGGCCGCTAAGTGTGACAAAACGTATCTTGCGAACAATTACGGTACAAGAACACCCGTGTCGTCGCTGTTCACCGCTTTGGAGGCGAATAGTCGCACGGTGTGTTTGGGAAGTAACCTCGGCGCAAGGGGATGGATATACAATTTGAGCCAGCGGAATTTGACGATGTTAGGCTTCAGAGAGACAACCACATTGTTGGATATATTATCAACCGTAGTGGCGCGTGGCCTTCCTAAGAAACGATTTTTGGGTAACGCATGTGCCTTTCATTTCTTATTCTCCGCGCCGCCGTCCTTAGTCAACGACACACTCAAAAAGACACGTGAGTTTAGCAAGTTGAGCGGAGCCTCACTGGGTGTGAGCGTGCAGTTGCGGGCAGGGGACTCGTACGCGCATTTCGCGTCTCCGAAAGACATGCGTGAGGTCATCACGCACCCCGGCTATGGTTTCGGCTCCCCAGCAGCGGCCGCTCGTGCCATGCTCTCCTGCGTTGAGCAAATCTGCGCGCCGCTCCAGAAAGATGTACTGTGTGGGACCGGCACTTGCCAACCGATGGCGTGTTCGGTTCTCTTCGAGGCGGACGCGCAAGAGGCACGTGACGCAGCAGCAGCTTGGAGACCGTCGACTGGAGACCTCCGAACTGGCATGCGAGTGCACGTGCCTGATACGAAACCGCTACACAGCTTCGTGAAGGGAGCGCGGGGCATGGCGCAGACTATATCTACCGCTCTAGCGTTGGCCACCAATCCAGTCCTGTTGAGGACCGAAGGGGGGCTAGGAACTCTGGTGCGAAATCTGGGGCCGATTCCACAAGGTGAGGGTACGACGACGATCTTGTTCGAGGACCTCATCAGGAATTCCACTGGCAATCGAAATAAAAGTTGGGTGAAGTGCGATTTGGGAGAGTTGGGAAAGGATTATGTTACGGAGTATGGCAAGAATTGGCGTCTGTGATGGTTCCAAATCGCACACAGTCGTTCTGTATGACAGTATTGTGTAGCACGGCGCGTGATTCTTGTATCTATGCTGAGCCGCCTTGAGCTAGATTGACGTCAATCACCGGCCGCGCTGCGTTATGTTGCCGTTTCCTGGATCATTTGTCTTTTCTCCCAGCGCATTGGTTTTGTCCTGTGGTGGTACGCCGATGGACATTCTGGTTTGTCATGTCGTAGCTTTGTGGGAAGAGAAGTTGTACGAACCATGCTTGCAACTGGATGTCGCAGCAAACACGCCGGACAGCGTTATGCAGGTGAGCAACCGACCGCAGGCCAATATTGCCGCATCGGTGGTGCGAAGATGCAAACAAGGCAAGTATGGCAGCGTGGAGTACAGTAGGGCACTTGAAACAAAGAGTAGAGCAGAGCGTGACTATACTACAAGAAGATGACGTGATATGCGTTTAAGTGCGATGGAGAAGTTCGGGTTGCGTAGGCAGGGGTGGAGGAGGGCAGAATGGTAGGGATGGGTCGCACAGGTAATGACCTCCAGGACATGAGTAGCATGACTCGTGGTAGCACAGATGCGAAATACCCTGGAGAAGGACCCAAGCAGATGCAGATGTGAGTACCGCGTTGTGGGTATCGTTTTCGGTGCAACTCTTGTGAGGGCCACGAAGCGTGTGAGGGGTGTGCCGAAGTGGGCGCGGCGGTGCTATGCGAGCGCAGCCACTGGGGCCTTAGGTGGAGCTCTTTCTGTTGCCACAAGGCATGTAAGGGATGTGCCGCGGGCGCGACAGTACCATGCGAGCGACGCAGCCGCTGGGGCTTTCGGTGGAGCTCCGCATGGGGCCACGAAACGTGTGAGCGGTGAACGGAAACGGGCGCGGCGGCGCCATGCGAACGCAGCCCCTGGGGCCGTCGGTGGAGTCTTTGGGGCCACGGAGCGTGTGAAGGGTATGCCGAAACGGGTCCGACGGTGCCACTCGAACGCAGCCATCGGTTGGGGCCACGAAGCGCGCGAGGGATGTGCCGAACCGGGCGCGGCGGTGCCATGCGAACGCAGCTTGTGTGGCTGTCGGTGTGGAGCTCCTTATGGGGCCACGAACCGTGTAAGGGGTGTGCCGAAATGGGCGTGGCGGTGCCATACGAATGCAGCCATTGGGGCCTTCGGTGGAGCTCGTCGTGGAGCCACGAAACGTGTGAGGAGTGTACAGACATGGGCGCGGCGGTGCCATGCGATCGCAACCATCTGGGGCTTGCGGTGGAGCTCCTTATGCGGCCATGGAACGTGTGATGGGTGTGCAGAAATGAGCGCGGCAGTGCCACTCTACTCGACCGCAGCCATTGGTTGGGGCCAAGAAGCGCGCAAGAGGTAAACCGAAACGGGCGCGGCGGTGCCATGCGAACGCAGCCCGTGTGGCTTTCGGTGTGGAGCTCCTTACGGGGCCACGAACCGTGTAAGGGGTGTGCCGAGATGGACGCGGCGGTGCCATGCAAACGCAGCCATTGGGGCCTTCGGTGGAGCTCGTCGTGGAGCCACGGAACGTGTTAGGGGTGTGCCGAAACGGGCGCGGCGGTGCCATGCGAACGCAGCTGTAGGGCTCTCAGTGGAGCTCCCTATGGGTGCCGACATGGACATGCGTAGAGCATATGCAGGAATGGGAATAGGGAGGGAGGGAAGAGGAGGAGAAGGAAGAAGGAATGACGCGGGGCGTTGTCTCTTCAAACGGGGACACGACAACACAGGATGATTGGGAAAGGACAGTAGCCAGCAGATGAATGTGTAACAGCGGTTGCGGTGCGCTTGCCCAGGGACAACATGGTGAGCACCACAGCATGATTGCGAGGACCACAGCTTGCTTGCGAGCACCGCAATACCATGCGCCCCAAGGCACGCATATGATCATTGCGACATGCTCATGAGCACCCTGGCGAATTACGAACACCAAAGCGTGTCTGCGAGCACCAGCTTCTGCTTCTGACCGCCGAACGGAACGTGTGTGAGAGCACCATGCACTGTGCACGCGGCCACAAAAAGGCAAGGGGAACCATGTTTTCTCAGTGCCGCGATAGCTTGCATGCACCACGGAATGCCTGCCAGCAGCACAGGACTTGTGTGAGCACCGCGGTAGCTTGCGAGCACTACGAAGCCCGTAAGCATCACGTGATCACGGTGCGCGTGCGCCTCAAGACGGGGAGGGGAGTTTGACCTTGCGAGTACCACAGAAGTTTGCGAATGTCACAGTTCGTTTGCGAATACCAGCAGTAAGCCAGCGAGCACCGCAATAGTTTGCGAGGGCCACAGCATACGTGCGAGCACCAATGTGTTTGCGAGCGGCAGGGTAGCTGCCTGTGGGGACAGCATTCGACTATTCAGAAAGCATGTGAAACATGCATCATTCCCATGAGCACCACAGTGGCCTGCCAAACACCAGAAGACACCTCAGAACACCACGTTGCGTTTGCGACCGCCCAAGAGAACATGTTGGAGAGCAACACGCATGTGCCTGGGACCAGAGGACAGCAAGTGCAGCTGGACAACACCATCGCCTGCGATCACGGCGGTCTGGTCACGAGTATGCTGGACCTTGCCAGTGAATGCCAGGCAGGCCAGAGTAGTCTGTCAAAGCACATGTCATGTTTCATCTGCGTGCGGTTGCCTTTGAGGGTGCGCCCGCCCAGTTGCCCAGAGCGCGCACTCGACCCGAGGCGACCCCGAGACGCCCCAAAGCGGCCCCCAGGCGCCACAAGAATCGCCGCAGAGGGCCCCCATAGCCTTCCAAGAGGCCCAGGCGCGCTGAAGGCCTTCCAAGGGCCCCCAATGAGGCCTTCCAAGCAAGAAGCTGCCCATATGGCAGCAGCAGTAAAAGCGGCAGAACAGGCAGCCCGCGGTTGTGGCAATGGTAATGGTAGTTGTCATAGTGGTAGCGGTAGCAGTGGTGGTGGTGGTGGTGGTGGTGGTGGTGGTGGTGGTGGTGGTGGTGGTGGTGGTGGTGGTGGTGGTGGTGGTGGTGGTGGTGGTGGTGGTGGTGGTGGTATCGGTAGCCGTAGCGGTAGCGGTAGCGGTAGCGGTGGTGGTTGTAATGTTAGTGTTAGTGTTCGTGTCATTGGTGGTGGTCGTGGTAGTGGTCGTGTCATTGGTAGCGGTACCCGTTGAGAGGCTCCGTCGCGTTTCAGCACATGTGGGCATTGGACGAGCAGCAAGGGCCACCGAGGCCCAAGCCTGGCGCCCGCAGTCCACCCACCCCACAGTCCGAGACGTTTCTGCGGGGACTGCGTGCAAATAGGTGGCCACATGCGAACCCGACCCCTACCCCCCACGATTTCTGAGGGGGAGGGTGGGGTTCACTTCGCTCGGGAGCTCCTGAGAAAAGTGAACCCCACCCTCCCCCTCGGAAATCGTGGTGGGTAGGGGTAGGGTTCGCATGTGGCCCCCTGGCAAACGCACCATGACGCACCACGAGAGTGTTGTCTCAGGTCTGGGCCATAACGCACGGCAGGCCCCCCCCCTCCCCCACAAGATTGCAACGCCCCCGCGCAACCTAACGCTCCCCCCCGTGCAGTGCGCCCCCGGCACTGCCGCAGCGCACGCGTGCACCGCGGAGGTGCGGTCATAGCGCCTGCGTTGTGCTCCCAGGTTACGGTAGCTGTCGCATGTTTCTGCGGTGTTCAGAGGCGCAGCTCACAAGGTCAGGAACAGCATTGCCAGCTGCATCAGGAGCGTTCGCTTCAGGTTCAGTGGCAGGGCGGCCCTTACAGTCTCGCCCGCGCTTCAAGCACCTGTCCCTGCTGGCGAAGTTTCTGTCGGATCCGTGCAGCCTCGTGGTTTTGCACGCCCATCGCTGTCATTCATGGTCCTGCTCTCGCGCTTGCGCACTCCGACGTTGCTGCCACGGCGACTCCTCGTCCATGGGCGGGGCCGAGCCGTGATGCCACCGAAGGAGCGAGCTCACGGGCTGATTCGATCCGCAGCAGCCCCCTACGCCCGTGGGCGCCGCCCGCGCCGATGCCAGGCGGGCATTCTGGGTAGCCGCGAGCGCCGCGCGGCAGTAGCGGCACCCCATGCCACCGGGACAGCTGTCTGCGGCGCCTCCGTCGCGCGCTCGCGCGCTCACGCCCCGGGGTGCTGCGCGCCAGGGCCTCGGCGACGAGCACACGCCAAAGCTGCACGGGCCGAGATGCTGTGGCAGTGGCACCGGTGGTCTCAGTTACAGCGGCAGCGGCAGTGACCCTCAGAATCTTCGCAGGGGCCTCTCGGAGGCTTCTCAGACGCCTTCCAGAAGCTCCCCAGAAGCCCTTCAGAAGGCCCACTAGACGCCTTTGAGAAACGTGTGTAAAGAAGCCGCTCAGAAGCCTTTGGGGAGCCGTCCCAGAAGCCTCCCACTATCCGTTTGGAGTTCCCCCACAGTTTTCCTATTGATCGCACGCAACAGGTACGCTTCGAGTACCACTCTAAGTCGTAGAACGACTACGAGTCTGGTGATGCAGTACTAGCACCGTTGGTAAACACTTCAACAGTTGAGGGAGCGCCGTTGTTTTTTCGGGGAACCGTGTTTCTGCTGAGTTATAGTAATATATAACATGCGTAAAATAGGCATGCGATCGAAATCCGAAACAGATATGCAGCACCGATCGCTCGCGAAGCGCGGAAGTCAGTAAAACACGGTACGCATGTTGGCGCCAGTGGCCAACCGTCCAACCATTGTAGAGACGATGGCGGTGATGGCGGTGACGATGTTCGACAGGAGATGGTGTTGACAGTGTGATGGTAATGTTGATCTAGATCCAGGTAGTGTTTGAGATGGGCATGGTCGTGGAGACGGTGCGGATGACGGTGGTGTGGATGCTGAACTGATTGAAAGTCGTGTTGGGCGGTGCGGTATGATCGTGGCGAGCACGATAGGGTCGGTCGCACGACATTTGTATACTTAGATGCCAGGAGAGCTCTTGCTCGAGTTCGACGTTCAAGGAACCAGGGGGTGCCCACGATCCATCCGAAAACATGTGTTTCATGCTACTACAGCTTGTTATGTTGTGCCCAGGTCGGTCAAACAAATATTCAGCAGCCAAGCGGACATGCTGCACAACACTTCCCCTACGTAGCGGAGTGAAGTAGGGGCAGGGTTGGAGGAGCAGTGCGCCTCCCAACCGCAATAGACGCAGCAGCGCGTTATTGGATAAAGAGGCGCTGGCCATCCCAACCCTATTTCTATCTTTACAATCGGTCGTAGGGCCGGGACGGACGATCCCCGTAGGCTCCCTGAGGTCCACAGCGGCTTCCAGACGCTGAAGAGGGGCCGAAAGACACCCAGAAACGTCTAGCCCTCGAACCTCGAGGATCGAGGAGCCAGTCTGGATCGAGGGGGCGGCGATCGACGGGAGGCCAGTCCAGTTCCAGGGGCCCAGAACCCTGCGCCTGGCGGTGTTCGCCTCCGCAGAATTCGACCAAGACGTAAGTTGACCTTTCGCCGGAGTGACCTTTGATGCGGGCCCGATGTGGTCCCCCGATCGCCGAACGCGAAGCGGTAGCAGCGGCTTGCGCGCCCAGGCCTGGCCGCCCCGCGTCTCCCGCGTCTCCCGTTAAGCCGCGCACCAAAGGTCATTCTTGCCGCGGGTCACTCTTGCGCGCAGCCGGAGACGGCGGCTCTGCCCCGCCATCACCACTTGACGAGCGCCGCCGTGATCCCAGATCAATGCACAGGCCTCCCGGCCGCTGCCAGGAGGGCACGTGCGCCAACCCAGGGCCCAGGACGGCCCCGGCCCAGGGGGGCGGTGATGCGTAGCCGCTTGCCGCGCATCGCCGACGGCGCCGAAGGCGCGGGGGGGGGACCCGGGCGCGCGCAGCCGGACGCGGCGCTACGCTGCGACGCGAGGGCCGGGCGCCCCGCGCGACCTCTGCGCGCGGGCCCCGCGAGCCCGCGCGCGCGAGCCGAGCGGAGGGCGCGGCGCGCGCGGCGCCGCCCTCGGCCCCGCCGCCAGGCGCCGCCCCAGGGCCCCCGCGGCGCCCCGGCCGCGGCGGACGCGGCAGCGCCCGCGGCGCCCGCGGCGGAGGCGCCACCCGCGCGCCGCCAGGGGCCCGCCGCCGCCGCGTGCCGCGGCGCCCCGGCTGCTGTGGGCGCAGGCGCGCCCGCGGCGCCGGCGGCGCCGGCGGCGGAGCTGCGGGCCGCGGAGGAAAGCCGCCGGCGGCACGTTCCGAGCGCCCTCACGGTGCGGGTGTTTTGCTGGAGGTGGCCCTGGCCCCAGGTGTGCCCCCGAGGATTTCCGGGGAGGCCCCCTTCGGCCTCCAGAGCACCCCCATGGGCGCCCCAGGGCCTCCAGAAACGGAGCGAGGAGCTGGGGGCTCCTTGGGCCAGGGGCACCTTGTGCAACCCCCCGAGCTGTGGGCGCGCCGGCGGCTCGGCGACCAGCACGAAACCATCCGCCGGCTCGCCGACCCCAGCCTGGTGAGATCTCTCTCATCGATGCACCATCTGCGTGCCTGGCCGCGGCCATCTGGGCCCTTGGATGGTCCCTGAGATCCGACGTTGCAAAAAACAGCATCGCAAAAAATTGCGACCGGACCCCCAGACCCCATCGTTCTGTGTAATTTTCCGAGCCGGATCTGTGAGGGTCCCAGGGCCCGAAATGGAGCGAAAACGCCCATTGTGATAAAATTGCAACGCCAGGATCTCAGGGGTGTACGAACCTTCCTGGCCGAGGGTCCTGTAAACCTCCAGCGTGCGGTAGGTTCGCGTCGTGCCGAGGGGGCGAGGCGGCGACCCCGCCGGCAGGCCCAGAGTCGGCGCCAACGTGGGACGATCTTGCGCGATCGAGAAGCCGCCGATCGTTCGAGGTTGAATGATCCACGCGGTGTCGGAAACCAACACCGGGGTCTTCACGACGCGAACCTGCCGTACGGGCCTCGAAATTTCAAGACTTGCTGCGCCTCTGTTGTGCTCCGTGCTGGAATCACCGCGGGGGGGCTAAGGGGGCAGGGGGACATAAGGGCATAAGAGGATGCCAAGGTGGATGACATGTGGTCCAGCCTAGCTTATACGTGTGTCATATGTACCCTGACTGGCCTCGGGGGTTAGATAGCCCCACCTAGCATGCACGCATCCACATATAATCCCTGGGAAACCTTAGCAACCCCCGCGGTGATCCAAGTGGGCCCCCTGGAAGGCCCCTCGTGGATTGACCTCAGGCATGGGCCTCTGGTGTTGGATCTTGCACGGGTTCTAATCAAAGCCCTTGTGGGTAACCCGCATGGGCACGATGATGATTGCGGTTCGTGCGTCGCGGCCTGGACCGTCAAAGATTCCCTTATCCAGGGCGCGCGAGGATCGCGGGGCGCTAAGCGCGAAATTGCACGACATAGGTAGGGGTCCGATTCGCTATGTCAGGAATATTTGTCTGATAGTGCGGTGCCCACGGATCGCGCAGTGACCCCAGGGGACACCAGAGCACCGTTCGAACCCGGCTCTGGGGTCTGTCTCGCCCGCATCAAAATATTGTTGTGTGCTTGCGGTGCTTGTTTGAAATCATGTAGGTGCCGTAATGGATCGCCTTGGCATTCTGCCTCGGCCCTCTTGGTTGGACCTCATGCAACCCAATTGGTGTTCGGGTGGGCCCTTAGTAATGTTATGCGGGATGTGCCCGCATCAGTCATCAGTCCCACTCCTGGCATTTGCGCCGGCGTGTGTGCAAGGGCGCCTTTCCCGAAAATGACTTGTCCAGAGCGCGCAGGGCACACAAGCGCGAGGGCTATATATATGTGTGTATATATATACACATATATATATATATATATATATATATATCGGAGGTGAGGGGGTGAGATCGAAGTGGAACGGAGAGCCCCCCTACCAGGAAATTGGTTTCAGTTTCGCGTTCGTGCGTGCCGTGCGTACGGGCGAGGCGAGGCTGCGCGGGCGGGCGAAAAGAAAGTCTCCTCCGGCTGAGGCGCGGCCAGACCAAATGATTTTTGTCCGGGGGCGGGTGGACCGCGGTGTCCCGCCGGTGTCCCGCCTCCGGCTGAGGCGCGGCAGGACCCCGCGGGCCAGTGGCCCGCGGTGGCCCGCCGGTGTCCCGCCGGTGTCCCGTCGGTGTTCCGGTGATGATGATGATGATGATGATGATGATGATGATGATGATGATGATGCCGATGATGTTGATGATGATGATGATGGTGATGGTGATGATGATGGTGTTTCGATAATGATGATGTTGACGATGTTGATGATGATAATGATGTTAATGATGGTGATGATGATGGCCATGGTGTTGATGATGATGGTGCCCCGATGGTGATGATGTTGTTGATGATGATGTTGATGATGATGATGATGATGGTGTCCCGATGATGATGTTGATGATGATGTTGATGATGTTGATGATGTTGATGATGATGAGGTTATGATGATGATGACGGTGCTGATGATGATGAGGATGATGATGGTGTATTGATGATGATGGTAATGATGATGATGCAGTTGATGATGCGGGTGATGAGGATGATGGTGTCCTGGTGATGATGATGTTGATGATGATAACGGTGATGGTGCCCCGATGATGATGGTGATGTTGAGGATGAGGACAATGATGAGGCGATGCTGATCATTTTGATGATGGTGTCCCGATGATGATATGGTGAAGACGCTATTCCGGGTGAAGACGCTATTTCGGGTGAAGACGCTATTCTTTGTGAAGACGTTATTCCCGGTAAAGACGCTATTCCCGGTGAAGACGCTATTATTTGTGAAGACGCTCTTCCCAGGGAAAACGAATTCCCGGTGAAGACGCTATTCCGGGTGAAAACGCTATAATCCTGGAGAAGACGCTATCCCGGGTGAAGATTCTTATCCGGGTGGAGACGCTATTCCCGGCGAAGACGCTATTCCCTGTGAAGATGCTATTCCGGATGAAGACGCTATTCCGGGTGAACACGCTATTCCGGGTGAAGACGCTATTCCTTGTGAAGACGCTATTCCCGATGAAGATCCTACTCCGGGTGAAGACGCTATTCCCGGTGAGGACGCTCTTCCCGGTGAAGACGCTATTCCGGGTGAAGACGCTATTTCGGGTGAAGACGCTATTATTTGTGAAGACGTTATTCCCGGTAAAGACGCTATTCCCGGTGAAGACGCTATTCCCGGTGAAGACGCGACATTCCTGGTGAAGACGCGCTATTCTTGGTGAAGACGTTATTCTTTGTGAAAATGCTCCTTCTCTTCACCATGCCTAGTATTCAACGTGCTCCCCTCCCAATCGTAATTTGAAAATGCCATTTTACTCCACGCTTCCCGTGTCTAACACAACGCGTGCCCCACCAGCTGTGCGACACCCTCTGCTAGGCAACGCCCTACTCCAAGTTGACAAAAAAAGAATCGCTAGACATGCCCCATCTGCTGTGCAACACCCTCTTCTGGGCAAGACCCCTACCGAGGACCCCTTTCCCAAGTTGATTAAAAGAGAATCCTTGGTGGTTGACGTGCCCCATCTGCTGTCCGGCACCCTCTGCTAGGCAGGGCCCCTCCCCAAGTTGATAAAACAGACCCTTGATGTTAGACGTGCCCCATGTGCTGCCCCTCCCCAAGTTTATTACAATAAAAGAGTCCTTGGTGCTAGACGTGCCCCTTTGCTGCGCGGCACCCTTTGCTAGGCAAGACCCCTCCCCAAGTTGATTTAAAAAGAATCCTAGACGTGCCCCATCTGCTGTGTGGCACCCTTTGTTTGGCAATGGCCCTCCCCAAGTTGCTTTAAAAATAATCCTTGGTGCTAGACGTGCCCCATCTGCTGCGCGGCACCCTTTGCTAGGCAAGACCCCTCCCCAAGTTGATGAAAAAAGAACCCTAGGCGCGCCCCATCTGCTGTGTGGCACCCTTTGTTGGGCAATGGCCCTCCCCAAGTTGGTGAAAAAAAACCTTGGTGCTTGACGTGCTCCATCTGGTGAACGGCACCTTCTGCTACGCAAGACCCTTCCCCAAGTTGATAAAAAAAACCTTGGTGCTAGACGTGCCCCCTCTGCTGTGGGGCATCCTCTGATAGGCAAGAGCCCTTCCCAAGTTGATTTAAAAGGAATCATTGGTGCTAGGCGTGCCCCATCTGTTGTGCGGCACCTTCTGCTAGGCAAGACCCCTCCTCAAGTTGATGAAACAAGAATCCTTGGTGCTAGATGTGCCTCTTTGCTGTGCGGCACCATCTCCAAGGTGAGGCCCATTGCTGCGCGGCACCTTCTGCTAGGCAAGACTCTCCCCCAAGTTAACTTAAACAGAATCCCTGGTGCTAGGCATGCCTTTTGCTGTGGGGCACCCTATGCTAGGCAAGACCCCTCCCCAAGTTGATTTAAAGAGAATCCTTGGTGTTAGACATGCCCCTTTGCTGTGCGACACCCTCTGATTGGCCAGAGCCCTCCCCAGGTTCATTAAAAAAGAATCATTAGAAAAGAAAGCCCGGTGAGCCCCTGGAGCCTCCTGGGGCCTCCCGGAGCTCACCGGGGCTTCCTGGGGCCTCCTGGTGTTTTCTGGAGCTGTCTTGGCCCCTCTGGGTGCCTCCTGGAGCTGTCTTGGCCCTCTCCTGGGGCGCGAGTCCGTTGTGTTAAACGTATATGCCAATAGATTGGCCTTCTCTTGGGGCGCGAGTCCATTGTGTTTCACGCATGTGCCCATAGATTGGCCTACCCTTGGGGCACGAATGTGTCATGTTTTATGTGCGTGCTTATCTTTTGGCCGTATCAGTGAACACGAATCCTTAGCGTGTTACGTGATGCATAGAGATTTGCCTTCTTCTGGGGCGAGCATCTTTTGTGTTTTACACCTGTGCGTATAGGTTGGCCCTCTCCTGGGGCACGAGTCCTTTGTGTTTCGCGCGTATGCCTTTAGATTGGCCCGTTCCAGGGGCGCGAATCTTTCGTGTTTTACGCATTTGCTTATCGATTTGCCTGCCCCTGGGGCACGAGCCCTGCGTGTTTTACGCATGCGCCTATGGATTTACCCTCTCCTGGGACACGAACCCTTCGTGCTTCACGCATGTGCATATAGATTCCGTGTCTCACGTGTGTGCATATAGATGGGCCTTCCCCTGGGGCACGAATCTTTTTGTGTTTAACGTATGTGCCAATAGATCGGCCTTCTCTTGGAACACGAACCCTCTTAGTGTTTTACGTCTGTGCCTATAGATTGACCCTCTCCTAGGGCGCGAATCTTTCGTGCTTCACACGCGTGCTGATAGAGTGGTCGTATCATAAGGGGCAAATCCTTAGCGTGATTGGCCCTCTCCTGGGACACGACCCCTTTCCAGGGGCACGAATCTTTCGCGTTCTACGTGATTGCTTGTAGATTTGCTCTCCCCTGGGGCACGAACCCTGCGAAGCGTCACCAGCTTCACCGGGCGCCAGGGGAATAGAGGCTTTAGGCCTAATCGAGGCTTCACGAGCGTCACCGGGCGTCAAAGGGATAGAGGCTTCAGGCCAAATAGAGGCTTCACGAGCTTCACCGGGCGCCAGGGGAATAGAGGCATCAGGCCGCATAGAGGCTTCACGAGCTTCAACGGGCGTCAAGGGAATAGAGGCTTCAGGCCGAATAGAGGCGTCAGGAGCTTTACCAGGCGCCAGGGGAATAGAGGCTTCAGGCCGAATAAAGGCTTCTCGAGCTTCACCGGGCGTTAGGGGAATAGAGGCTTCAGGCCGAATAGAGACTTCACGAGCTTCATTTGGCGTCAGGGGGATAGAGGCTTCAGACCGAATAAGGGCTTCACGAGCTTCACCGGGCGCCAGGGGAATAGAGGCATCAGGCCGCATAGAGGCTTCACGAGCTTCAACGGGCGTCAAGGGAATAGAGGCTTCAGGCCGAATGTAGAGGCTTCACGAGCTTCAATGGGCGCCAGGGGGATGGAGGCTTCAGGCCGAATAGAGGCTTCACGAGCTTCACCGGGCGTCAGGGGAATAGAGGCTTCAGGCCGAATAGAGGCTTCACGAGCTTCACCGGGCGTTAGGGGAATACAGGCTTCAGACCGAATAGAGGCTGCACGAGCTTCAATGGGCGTCAGGGGAATAAAGGGTTCAGGCCGACTAGCCGCGTTTAGGGTCGCTACCCCACCAGTGCGTCGCAATTCGTAGGCCGAATAGAGGCGTCACGAGCCGAATAGAGGCTTCACGAGTCTCACTGGGCGTCAAGGGAATAGAGGCTTCAGGCCGAATAGAGGCGCCACGAGCTGCACCAGGCGTCAGCGGAATAGAGGCGTCACCGCAGCTCCTTGCGGGAATAGCGTCTTCAAAAGCGTCTTCGGCGTTGGCTCGAACTGGGAACCCCTCGGGCCAGGCCCTTGTATATGTATACACACATATATATATATATATATATATATATATATATATGTATCGGAGGTGAGGTGGTGAGATCGAAGTGGAACGGAGAGCCCCCCTACCGGGAAATCGATTTCGGTTTCGTGTTCGTGCGTGCCGTGCGGGCGAGGCGAAGCTGCGTGGGCGTGCGAGAGAAAGTCTCATGTGGCTGAGGCGCGGCCGGACCAAATGTCTCCCTTCCGGGCGGCCGGGGGCCCGCGGTGTCCCGCCGGTGTCCCGCTGGTGTCCCGTGTGGCTGAGGCGCGGCCGGATCAAATGTCTCCCTTCTGGGCGGCCGGGGCCCCGCGGTGTCCCGCCGGTGTCCCGCCGGTGTCCCGTCGGTGACCCGATGATGATGATGATGATGATGATGATGATGATGATGATGAGGAGGAGGAGGAGGAGGAGGAGGAGGAGGAGGATGATCAGGATGAGGATGAGGATGATGATGATGCTGATGATGTTGATGTTGATGTTGATGTTGGTGTTGTTGATGATGATGGTGATGATGATGTTGGTGTTTTATTTTGATGATCGATAGTGAGATCGATAGTGAGGTCGAATGTGAGATCCATAGTGGGATCGATAGTGATATCGATTGTGAGATCGAGCGTGAGACCGAATGTCAGATCGATTGTGAGATCGATTGTGAGATCGATAGTGGTATTGGTAGTGAGATCGATTGTGAGACCGAATGGGAGATCGATTGTGAGATCGATTGTGATATCGATAGTGAGATCGACTTTGAGACCGAATGTGAGATCGATAGTGGGATCTATTCTGAGATCGATTGTGAGATCGATCGTCAGATCGATTGTGAGATCGATCGATTGAGATTGATAATGAGATCGATAGTGAGTTCGATACTGGGATCGATGGTGAGACCGAATGTGAGATCGATTGTGATATCGGTTGTGATATCGATAGTGAGATCAGAAGTGAGACCGAATGTACGATGGACAATGAGATCCAAAGTGAGTTCGATAGTTAGATCGATAGTCATATCGAATGTGAGATCGATTGTGAGATCGATTGTGAGATTGATTGTGAGATCAATAGCGAGACCGAATGTGAGATCGATTGTGAGATCGATTGTGAGATCGATAGTCAGATCGATTGTGAGATCGATCGATTGAGATCGATTGTGAGATCGGTAGTGAGTTCGATAGTAAGATCGATCGAGTGCGACGTTGGTCCCTTCCCCCCCCCTCACCTCCTTATCACCCGAAGGGTGGTCGTATAGGTATATACCGCAATTTGTGCATGTTCATTATCCGCTGTCCTTCCTCCTCCTCATCCTCCTCCTCCTCCTCCTCCTCCGCCTCCTCCTCCTCCTCTCCTCCGCCTCGTCCTCCTCTTCCTCCCTTCTCCTTGGTGGTCGTGCTTCACGTGTTTAGTGGCAGCGCGGTTCGACCACAGTGCCAGTAATCACCAGCTGACGCACCAGAGGTGTCTCGGGGGCTGCGCTTCGTGCTGGAAAAAAAAAAAGCGAGGACGTGTCGGACGTCCCGTCCATCTCCGACGAGGAGTTCGGCATGGGCGAGCCCAGGAAACCCAGGAGCCGGGGCTTCCTGCAGCGCCCGCGATCTGTGTCCCCGGCCGGGACAGGGCGGTCGGCTTGAGCCACGCGCGCCGCCTACCCAGTCCTTTGGGCGCGCCCGGGATTCGTCGTCCAGGCGTGCTGTAGAAGCGGGGCGCGGTGTTCCCATGGCTTGCGCCTGCCTGTCATGGGTCACCCCTACGGTGGGACCGAGGTATAAGGTCGAGATCGGCTCGGGGAGGGTACCCTTATGTTTTTCGTATCTGCTGGGTGTTCTTCTGCATCTTGGGGGAGGGTGCCCTCGTGTGTTTGTCAGTTTGGCCGGCGGAAGGTCCCATGTTCTTGAAGGATGGTGTTGCGCCTTTGTGTCCTTGGAACATGTTGCGAAAAACTACACGCACGACACAGAGAAATGCACGGGGAATGGACCTCCGAGCGATGGCGAGCCCATGGTGCTCGAGGATACTCGCGCTTCTCGCGTCGCCACTGGGCCAGGGCTGCCGCGATATTTTCTTTGAGGGCGGCGCAAGAGCGCGAGTCCACGAACATCATCGCGCAGCGCCGGGCGGGATGTGCGAAGCCAGGTCTGGGCGCCGCGTCATGGGGGGCGATGAACGGGGATGAGAGCGAGAGCTGCAGAGAAGGGATCTTTTAGGGCCCCTGAAGGGGCCCTTCGGGGCCCGAAGAGTGCACCTTGCTCCCCCCCCCCCCCGCTGACCGCCCCCCCCGAGTAAGCGACGCCCAACAGGTGACGAAGCCTTCCTGTGCTGAACCTCACCTTGGAGCTGCTGGAACCCCTGAGAGCGGGCTCGTTTTCGCAGTGCTCGTGGCCGTCTCGTAGGGCAGGACATCGGGGAATGCCAGGTCTGTGTAGCGGAGCCAATGCGACCGAGCCCGTTCCCGCCAGGTCCCCTGGGGGCTCCTCGGGTGCTACATTGCCCCGCATTGCACTCCACTGCCCAGCATTGCTCTGCACTGGACTGTATGTTGTTGCACTGCAGTGCTTGTCTTTTGTGCCTGCGTTGTTTTGGACTGCTGTGCGTTGCGATGCTTTGATTTGCAGTGTAGAGTATTGCGTTGAGTTGCACTGCGTTGCCATGCTTCAGAAGAGAGACGTCCCTAAGTTCGGGCCGCACGGGGTTCGTTCGATAGTCTGCGCAGCGTTCGGATGCGACCAGACCGCATAGGGGGCTGGGGCGTTCAGAGCGAAGCTACCTCAACCTGAAAATCGGTGTCCCGAAGGCTCAAAACGGACGAAAATGGCCCAACTCTCGAGCACGTCGTCGACGTCGACGTCGTCGTCGTCGTCGGCGTCGTCGTCGTCGGCGTCGTCGTCGTCGTCGTCGTGGTCGTGGTCATGGTCGTCGTCGTCGTCGTGGTCGTCGTCGTCGTGGTCGTGGTCGTGGTTGCGGTTCGTCTCGAGCATGCCGGCGTAGCGAAGCTGATGAGGGCGACGATCCGGCGCACGGGTGGGGCCACGCCGGGCACAAAAAAGGTTTTCGGTCGCGTGCCTCGCTGTGGGGCGCGGGGCTGTCCCACGGGTTTCCCCGTGGGTTTCCTCCCCATGGGTTGTCCCGTGGTCGTCCCATGGGTTGTATCATGGGCTGCACCGTGGGTTGCCCCGTGGGTTGTCTTTGGATTGTCCCTTAGGGTGCCCCGTGATTTGCCCCGTGGGTTGTCCCCTGGGTTGTCACCTGGGTTGTCCCGTGGGTGTCCCGGGGCTGCCTTGTTGGGATGTGCAGATCGGAATGCGGAGTTTGATTACGATCGGTTGCAAATGAAACTGCAATCGAAATTATAATGAGAAAGGAGTTCGAAGAGCAAGCTCCTCCTCACCCCCCCCCCACCCTCCCCATTACCTGGGAGAGGTGTAGTATCTGAGGCTGTCACCACGAATGCCAACATTTTATGCGGAACCTGTTTTGCCCTCCAGGGTCCACATGGGACGAAGCCAGGACCAGGCGAAGTCAGGACCTGAGCTTTCCGCAACGTTCTCATCGCTTTTTGGAGCGAGCTGCAACGACGCCCGATACGTCCTCCAGAACGGCCCGACCTCCCGATGTGTCCCAGTCCGAATTTGTCCCGGTCCTGGCTTCGCCTTGGCTCGGAGGCCCCGACCAGTGTGGTGACGAACAGACCGCGTGGTGAGTCCGTGGGGATTCGGCGCCACCGCACGGTTTTGGGTTTTCGGGTCGCTCTCCGAGGCGTCTCGGGCGACCCAGGCCTCCGAGGTCCCGAGGCCGTGCGATGTCCTCGAGATCCGACGCTGAAAACAACGCAACACCGCAAAAAGTCACGACCGGAGCCCCGGACCCCACCTCTCTGCGTCGTCCCTCGGGCCGGATCGGTCCGTGCGGGCCCCGTGGCCCGAGGCAGAGCGAGAGCGCCCGTTGCGAAACAAAATGCCACGCCAGGATCTCTGGAGACGGACCGCGCGGTGAGGTCTCTGGGGTCGGTGTCGTTTCACCGATCCCCATCCCCATCCCCTTCGAGGCCCCCACCAAATTACCACCCCAGTTGGGGATGCACCCCTCGAAACCCGAAGGGAACGACCTATGTCCCCATCCAGGGGGGTAAATCGGCCGCTGGGGCCCAGTCCACGCCGCTGGGGTTGGGTCGGGGGGGTGGGCAGAACCCCCACCCTGACACGCCGATTAGTGAATTGTCCGTTCTCGGTTCTCGAGAGGGCGCCGCGGCCGTTGTTTTCCAGGCTTGTGCCCGCCAGGTTTGGGCCCCAGGTCGTTTTCATTGAACCACGTTCTACTGAAGGGGGGTCTGTCCATCCCCGACTTTCTCGGGCCGGACGAAAGGGGGGGATTGGGAAAGGGGGGGTTACGAAATTTGCTGCATGCAGCTGGTTTCGGCCTCACCGAGGGGCCCATTCCTCGATGCATGGCCGTCTCCGGCGCCGGGAGGCGCCGGGAAAATCAGCTACGCGAGCCGATTCTCACCCCCCCCCTCTGCTATCCCCCCCTTTCGCCCGACCCGACTTCCCCCGTCCCCCACCCCTCTTGTTGTGCGCGCCGCCAGGAGCGTCGACAAAAATCTGCGGCGTGAGTTCGGCGCGAGCCGTCGCTGAAGGTCTCCGCAGGTCGTATTCATTAAACCACGTTTTACTGAAGGGGGGGCCTGTCCATCCTCGATTTTCCCCGTCCCCCACCCCCTTGTTGTGCGCGCCGCCAAAGAGAGTCGGACAAAGATCTGCGGCGCGAGTTCGGCGCGAGCCGCCGCTGGAGAGGGCTCCGCAGGTCCCTCCTGGGTGCTCGCCCAGGAGTCCCCCCTCGATAGGCCTCCAGGGGGGGCGCCTCCAGAGGCCCAACATCAGGAGGGGAAAAACCACATAGACACCATGAATCGTCGACTCCCCAAAAACATAGCGAAACATATGGGAAGTGGGGGGGGGAAGACAGAAGCCCAGAACATGTGGGAAAATATTGGGAAGCCGGTTACTTGTGTGTATTTCTTTGTGTGTCCCAGGGCCCCTTCATTTAAGTGGGGCCTCCAGAGGGGGCGCCTTTGGAGGCCCGACAGTGCGACACGCGATTTCAGTCGGGCACGTCCTCCACAGGAGGAATACTCAAAATAGTAAACATCTAGGGGAACAAAAAGTGGCATAAACATAAAAACTCAGAGGCCCGCGCGGATTTCTCGAATCGGTGCTGGGGCCCCCTGGCGGCGCCTCTGGCGCCGCCCCCGGCGCGCTCCGCGCGCCGGGGGCCTCATTTCGGGGGGGGGTCTCTTCTAGGCTATCTTGGAGGGCCTGGGGGGTCTGGGGACGATGTTTTGGAGGGTTCTCCCACGGGGGAGGTCTGAAGTGGCTTGTCTTGGAGGGTCCAGACCCCCTCCCTTTTATTACGGAATCTGGAGTAGACTGTTCGGAGGTCCCCGTCGACATCGTGGATCGGCGCTGGATGCCCCTGGCGGCGCCTCCGGCGCCGCCCCTGGCGCGCTGCGCGCGCCCGGCAGGGGGGCTCGGCGCCGATCCAAGACATCCACGCGGACCGCCGGAAGTCGCCGAGCGCTTTCCACTGCTCGCAGAGTGCCTACTCGCACACGTCCGGACAACGCATGTTCGCTCTCGATGTGCATTGTATCGTAGATCCCCCGCGGCGGATCCTGGCCGTTTGCGAGCAGTTACTTTGCGAGTAGTGGAACGCGCTCGTCTAGAAAGAATAACGTCATGACGTCATGGTGTGTTTTGCTCTGACGGCGAAAGGCCCTCGGCCTCCGTCCGCGCCCAGGACTGCCTGCGAGCCCCCGTGGTGGCCGCACAGGCAGAGTGGCGACGGCGAGCAGGGCCCTGCGCGTGTGACGGAGAGCGTGCTGGCAGTATTTCCCCGCGCTGCTTGCGTGATCTCTTTGCTCCTGCACGCGATCTTGCGAGTCACGAAGCCACAAGAGCAGGCACAGCACATGAGAAGTGTGGCACAATAGGCGCAGGTGGAGCACGAGGACGAAGAATGAGGAGAATGCGGAGGATCGGGGGTGTGAGGGACGAAACGTGGAAGGAACTCACCACCAAGTGCCCAAGGTCTTCTTCGACGGCCCAAGGGGCGTTCCCCGCACCCCCAGCTGAATATTGAACGCGCCAGTGCAGGAGTTCCACCCGTCGGGCTCGCTGGGAGAATCGCTGTCGCCATGCTCAGCGTCTCACCAGCAGCACGGGAACAGTCGAGAAACACGTATGCTCGGAGCGAGGCTTCCGCCCGCCAGCACGAGGCACTTGACTGGGAGAGGGGCGCGGAGTGAAGGATTAGGACATGGGAGTGGGCCGGGATGAAAGGCATGTGTTCTCGGCCCAGGAGGGATATGTATGAGAGCGCAGGAAGGGAAAGGTCAAGAGAAAGGAGAGAGAGAGAGAGGGGAGGAAAAGAGAGGGAGGGGGAGATGACTGGCAGCAGCAGTTGATGGGCAGTTGAATGGCCAGTGGGCAAGCTGCACAAACACGGCTTCAAGCGCGACTTTCGAGAGATGAGGCACCCCGTGCATGGGATGCTGCACCTTCCTCTTCAAGAGGGCGAAGGCGGCTCTGTCACTCCTGCACCGGCAGAAAGTGGTGCTGAATGGGTCGCGAGGGGAATGATTGACCCGCCGTGCCACGCTTTTGCCCTTTGCAGTCCGACCTCCCGAACATGGTCTGCACTGGGAATCCTTGTGGCGTGGGCTCGCTCCGCCCGGGCCTCGCTTCGCCCCGGCTCGCTTCGCCCGGGCTCGCGTCGCCCAGCCTCGCTTCGCCTGGCCTCGCTTCGCCCGGCTTGCTTCCTCCGGGGCTCGCTTGGCCCGGGGCTCGCTTCGCCCGGGGGCCCTTGGGGCTACTCCGGCGAAGCGAGTTCGTGCCGTCCTTTGGCATCGCTCGGACGTGTGCATTGTTCCTTCGGCGAGGACCATCGAGGGGCATCCTTGATCATTTGGCGAAAAAACCACGCACGAAACCGAACAAAAAAAAAGACAGGGAATGGACGTCCGAGCGATGGCGTGGGTCCTGAGCACTTGGCGGGCACCGCCAGGCGTTGGCCAGGTCGCCGCCCGTTGGGCGTCTCGTATCGTCGCCCCGTGCGCCGGCAGGCGCTTCCGGCCCTGGCCCGGCGAAAGGCCCAGCTTCAGGAGGAAAAGAAACACACAGACACAATGAATCGTCGACTCCCAGGAAAATATGCAAAAATATGGGATGTGGGGGGGAAGACAAAAACCTAAAAAATATTGGAAAATATGAGGAATCCTTTTATTTGTGTGTATTTATTTGTGTGTCCTGGGGCCCCTTCACAGCTGGGCGGCTCGTGGCCGCCCATCGCTCGGCGGCCGCGAGAGCGGGTGCGGTTACGCCGGGGTGTGGCTTGAGATCGGCGCCGTTGAGGCCTGGGGGGGGCACCACACTGTCCTCGTCGGGCCCCTTCGGGGCGCGGCGGAGAACTCTATTCGGCACGGTCGGCATGGGTACGGAAAGAATGGGTACAATGCCCAACAGCAGTTCCTGCTCATTTTGAACAGGACTCGCTGTCCGCGCCACCGCGGCTTGTGTCCTTTCGAGACAGAAGGCCGCCTGCCCAACAGCGGCCGCTGTTGGTTTGGGACAACATGTGTTGTTAGGCATTGTACCCATTTTTCCGTGCCCATTTCGGGCGTCCAAATCTGTCGAGGTCCCCGCCCGGCACCCAGGGTATTCCCCAGGGTGCCGGTTGCCAACCACACCTTTTGCAAACCGCAACCTTCCGAGCCGCCGAATCGCGCTGATTGGCATCTCTGGGTTGTCACCCGGATGGGGCGCCCATGGCTGGCCGCCCCATGCTTTGGCTGGTGTTTCCAGATGCACGCGTACTGGGATCACCGCGGTGGTTGCGAAGTGGACAGGCGTTGTACGGGGATGCCAAGGTGGGCTGCATTTGGTCCGACCTGCTCTTATCACCGAGCGCGTTCCACTACTTGCAAAGTGCCTACTCGCAAACGGCCGAGAACAACAAAACAAAAAAGCATGCCTATCTATATGTAGTGGATCGTAAATCCCCCGCGAAGAATCCAGGCCATTTGCGAGTAGTTCTTTTGCGAGTAGCGGAACACGCTTTAAAATTTAAGTGGATTACAAGTACACTGAGTGGCTTGGGTGGGCTCGATAATTCCACTAGGTGGGTGGAGCCAATTTAGCTCGGATCTCGACCCCCCATGAGCCACTCAGGGCTTGTGGGTCTTCTAACAATCTAGGTTAGGCCAAATCGTACCCACATTTGCATCCACTTGTTACGCCCCATCCACTTAGCAACAACCGCCGTGATCAAAGTAGCTTGCATTACACAAATTGCACCATACATTGCACCGTATGGGTTACTTCTCTCAGCGAAGTCTGGATTATATCCCCATGCCGCGGCCAGACTTGCAGTCCCTACCGCGGGCAATGGGCTCGCCACATCAAAACGCACGACCGGTCGTTCCACATGTGGAACTACCGTTTTCTTCCAAGCCAGTACCCGTTCCCCGCGTGGCCTTATTTCTTCAAGCACCATGCGGTCCACACACGCTGATCAACAAACGAGCTCTCAACTACTCTTCACCAATCATGGCAATGCCAGCCTGGCGCGCACCCCGCGCGCACATGTCCAAATCGGATTCAAACAGTCTGCGATCTAAGGATGTCAGTATTCAGCTCTTCAGAACATGTGTGAAACAACAGATCGCATCTCATTGAAGAATGCCAATGCTCCTCGCGCACGGGTTCTGCCAGATTTGTGGACAAGCCCTAGGGCTCCGGCCATCCCGACAAAACGAGACCACTGGCGTACTTGCGCGTGCTTCCGCGCGCGCATGTCGAAATCGTGCCACGCGCAATCGCGCACTCGCTGAAATGCACAAGGTGCTGCATACCCCCGCTCGATCCCGCGCAGTGACACGCTGCGGGCCACACGCGCGCCCCCCCCCCCCCCCGTGCAAGCCGGCATATCGCTCGAGATCGCCGCGGCTCTTGGAGGCGGTGCGCGACACGCAGGCACGAGCACTCAAAAGAGTGTGTGTGCCCCTCGGGCCCGTGCGGTATGGCTCGACGGAGCAAGCAGGTGCGCCAGGATTGTTGAACGGCCTGGGGATTCGCCCGCGCGTGGCCAGCATGGCCTCGTTCGACCGCATGGCAAAAACCAACAACAACAACAACAACAACAACAACAATTACTAGCACGTGGGGACACTCCGTTCTCACCAGTGCCAGGGTTTTCATAGGAGGCGGGCAATACCCCCACTTTGTGGGGGGGCCGGTTCAAGCTCTACCAAATTTCCAAACGACTCTTCGCCACCACCCACACCCAGCTTCCCGCCCTATGACGTTCGGACACTTCACTTCGTGGCATGCGGACGACCGTGGCTACTATTCAGGGCCCCGCGGCCGACGACGACGGCGTGCGCGCGCGAAGAAAAAACGAATGTGTCCCGCATGGTATTATTTGACAGGGATGATGGCCCTGGCAGGTGCGCAACCGTTGTCGCAGAAGTTCGAAAAAGTTGCTCGCAAAAGCCCGTTTGACAGAAATGTTTAAAAAGTGTTGGGTTTCCTACGAATCCGCAAGAGCGCGCGGGATGAGATTTTGACATTTTTTTGTTGAAAAACCATTGGTTTTTTGATGTTTTTATGTTAAAATCGCTCCGAACACTAAGCTTTTGGAAGGATTTCGTCTTGCGCGCGCGAATGTCCACTTTACCTTATTTTTTGCAAGGGATTCTTGAAATTTGATTATATTAGAACAAGAAATGTCATTTTATAGTGTTTTTTGCAAGGGAAAGCGGGGGGGAACAAATCCTCTCTCACATCGACCTGAGGCTTCCTCACGAAAATGATGAAAATGTAGCTGCGGCCTAGGCGGCGCAGGGGGGCCGTGCACCAGGGGCCCCAACAATAATTATTCTTTAGAATTAATAATGTTCAACAACAACAACAATCACAACAACAACAACAACAACAACAACAACAACAACAACAAACGGCGGTCGGACGTTCTACCCATCGGTCGTTGAAAGTAGGCATCTTGGGATTCCCAGATCACAGTCTGCTTTAAGCGCCTTCCTACTTCAATGATCGAGTGGCTTCGACTATTCCGTCCTCATTAGGGGGCGGACGGAACCCAATCTATGTTCAACGCTGTCCTACTTCACGTTTCTACTTACTTTTTACGACCGATGGGTAATTCTCGCAAGCATTGCCATCACCAGCCCGCCCGAGTCTTGGGCCTGTAGGACAAGGGCCCGCGCATCGTTGCATCTGCTGGTATCTGCCAAGACGCTCCTTGGTAACTGCACTCACGGCCTCGCGGGAATCGCGGAGGACCTCCCAAGCTTGGTCTCTCGGGGGCCTCTTGGGAGGGCCACGAGAGGCCCTCCAGGAGGGCCCACGAGAGGCCCTCTTAGAGTTCCGTCCAACGTGGCCTCTCACGATACCCACGGCCCCTCGTGGGTATCGTGGAGGGCCACGAGGCCTCCCACGGTATCCCAACGGGTTGCGGGCGTGTGGTTGTGATGCTTGTTCGAGCACTGCACTTGACGACTTCACCCGCCCCGTGCACCAAGGGAATTCCACCCCTTGTGGAGAGCCGAATCAGATTCTACCCATACGCCAAGGTCCGGCGCATGAATTACCGTTCCCTTCGGGGTGTGGGTTGTTCAACTATATTTCCCTTAAAAAGCTTGTCTGACAGGGTTCTGTATTGGTTCTTTGCGAAACGAGTGGGTGGGTTGTGGGATCCACAATCGGTGGGGCGACGTTGTATCCCCCAGTCTTCCGTTGTCGCCCGTGGTGCTCCATTGTTTCCCAGTGTGTGCCGTTACCTCCCACTAGCTCCCGCTGTCTCCCATTCTCGATCCCTATCTCTATCCGCATCCAGATCCCAATCAAACTCCGCCCGTTTAATGTTTTGAATTGTTTCGCTCACTCCGCCGGCCCATTTCGCATCACTGTGGCTGCGTGGTGGTGTGCTTGCGCCGAGGGAACGGTGGGGCAGGCAGGAGGGTCTTCGAGGAGATCTTTGGAGATGTGGCTCGCACCCTGTCGAAGAGAGCCGATAGACTGCCCCAGAGAGCGCCAGGATAGCTCAGAGAGCTATAGCAGAGTTTCGAGACGTACATGGGTTGTGGGTCAAAGTCCTCATGGATGCTTCTTGAGGTCTTTTCGGAAGGAGTCTCTGGGGAGCCAGCCTCTTGGAGGCCTCTTGAGGCTTCCTGGGGGCTTGTTGGGAGTCTTGAGGGGCCTCTTTTGGGGCCTCGTGGGGGCCTCTTGGGGGGCTCTTGGGGGGCTCTTGGGGGCCTCTGGTGGCTTCCTGGGCGCCTCTTGGGGCCAAGAGCTCGAAATTTCCGTTCGGGTCCCCCGTCTGGGCCCGCTATTGGAGCAGTCTTGAGAGCTTCTTCGGCCATCTTGGAGGCCTCTGGGGTTGTCTTGGGGCCCTCTGGGGCCGTTTTGTGCGCTCTTGGAGGCCCCTTGGGCCGTGTTGGAGCGATCCTAGAAGCCTCTTGAGCCGTCTGACAGCCCCAGTAAGCCGAAAAGGCGAGAACGCCAAAAAACTTCAAAAACTCAAGAGTATCACAAATTTCTGCATCTGTGG